GACGCGCAATTTGTTCAACAGTTTCCAGATTGTGACAAGAGATAAACAAGACCCAAGTCAAGGTAAGTTTTGTTAAAGTGTCGATGGCGTTCCCTATATTACGAAAACAATTCAGGCAACAGACGAATATCTTCTGTGGTGTTGTGGAATTTATACTGTGTCTGCAGAATTGTTGATTGAGGGTTCGAAGCCAGCAGTTAACATTTTGTTAGAAAGTTTCACAATTAAATCAAATATCCAATGTTACCAGTATATTTATTTCATTATTTTAACAACTTGCAATGGTGGAAGTTGGTCAAACACGAGTTCTTACACCTAAATAAGTATCAAATATTTGTCGACACATTTATTCTCTCAATCTTGTAGAGGTGGAAATTAATTAAACAACAGGTATTTACTCACAAATATAATGGTCAATATTTAAGAACTTGTAATTGTAATTGTTGGAATTAATCAAATGAGAGTTGTCTACACCAAAATAAGTTTCAAATACTTGTCCATACATTTATTCTCTCAATTTAACAACTTGTAATGGTGTAAAATAATTAAACGAGAGCTGTCTACACCAAAATAAGTCTCAAATATTTGTCCGCACATTTAGTCTCTCAATTTAACAACTTGTAATGGTGTAAAATTATTAAATTTAGAGTTGTTTACACCAAAATAAGTCTCAAATATTTGTCCACACATTTATTCTCTCAATTTAACAATTTGTAATTTGTGGAAGTAAATTAAATGCGATTTTTCTATACCAAAATAAGTCTAAAATACTTGTCCTCACACTTATTCTCTCAATTTAACAACTTGTAATTGTGAGAATTAATCAAACGAGAGCTGTCTACACCAAAATAAGTCTAAAATATTGTCCGCACATTTATTGTCACAATTTAACCACTTGTTAATAGTGGAAATTAATTCAATGAGAGCTGTCTACACCGAAATAAGTCTAAAATATTTGTCTGCACATGTATTCTCTCAATTTAACAACTTGTAAATGTGGGAATTAATCGAACGAGAGCTGTCTACACCAAAATAAGTCTAAAATATTGTCCGCACATTTATTGTCACAATTTAACCACTTGTTAATAGTGGAAATTACTTAAACGCGACTTGTTTAATCAGTTGACATCAATGCAACTTACTCGCAGACAGTGCACAACAGAGTATCATTATTGAGCAATTATAAACAGGAACGTGTCTTGGCATTAGGGTTAGGGTCGGGTCAGGTATGGGCAACGGAATTATTAACAGGAACGTGTCTTGTCATTAGGGTGAGGGTCGGGTCAGGTATGGGCAACGCAAATGGCAAACACCCAATTTGCAAGATGTACACTAATGGGTTATGGCATGCATATAGTTTACACAAGTAAAAACACAAAATTGGCAATTTTTTAGATAATTGTAACTCAATAATAGAAATATGTTGTATTTCTATATATATACACACTATAGAGTCTTATCAAATGCAAACACATACAGTCAATCAATTGTGGTCTTGTGGGTCAGTTGTCTACACACTGATCAGGAGGACCCGGGTTCAATTCCTATGCCTGCCAGTCTTTTTTCGCAAACACTAATTTGCAATAAAGCTAAATATTAAAACAAATCATTCATTTGCATGACTACCCATATGGTTCAGTGGATATGTACAATGTAGGCAATGTGAAAGATCGCTGGTTCGAATCCAGTACAGTTAGTACGTCTTTTGAATGCTAGTGAAAACATTGATCCTATAAGTAGGACTTAAATCCTATCATTTGTGTGAAGACACTCGTGGTACAGTGGACAAGACAGTGCGCTGGGAACTCAAAGATTGCAAGTTCGAATCACGGACAGGACACTCATACAAGACAAGATATGAAAGAAAAAAAACATAAACAGCAACTTCTGTATATCAAGAACTCGAGTCAGAAAGTCGAAGTTGTCGAAGTACGAACACAGTTGACAGCTGCAGGTCACGTGCAACAACAGACACGAGGATCAATGCTGCTCTCCAAATGGGTCCCTTCTTTTGTATTGACCCCCTAATCCCCCTTTCTAACTCTTTCCCCAAAAATAATATATCGCCCCCTTTAGAATGTATTGATCTGATTCAAGATGGTCAAATGGTGGCCATTTTTGTGCTGAAAAAATCATCAAAATCAAGCATATCTGGCATTCCAGAACCAGATCTTGGCTGTTTACAGATGAATTTTGTTCAAACTTAGTCCATACATTATGGGTTCCTAATGCACATCATTATGTTTTACAGATTGGATTCAAAGTGGCTGAATGACTGTCATTTTGTTTTAATTTATTTTTATTATTGATTGGCTATTTCACATATATTAACATTGCCACTATTACTAAAACACCCTAAATAACGTGTTTATAATTGCTGTTATCAAGTGGAACGTTTCAGGTACTGTATTACATCTGTACATGGTTTTTGGTGCTTATTTCTGTGTCTCACCCCCAGAAGTGTACCACAAATTTTAGACCAGTTTTAATATATACACATTTACTGCCACTTATATGTACCAGTATATGGGTCGAACTGGTCTAGGGTGATTATTCCTTAATTAATATTTAGCCACAATTTAATAATGATAATAACAAATGTGCCAAATTGAAAACATAAACAATGTGAATCAAAAACTATACCCTTTGTGTTATTGACACAACAAACCCAATTCCTTTATTTGTTTTATAAATATCAATAGCTTATCAATGACAGTATCCAATGACATCATCAAAATTGTTTCAATGTTATTTCATTGGCCAATAGAAACCTCTCATTTCAGTTTGAATTGTGAAATTTATAAATATTCATAAAAATGTAGAGAATATTTTTTTGTGTGTTGACAGCACCAATTTCAATGTCACAAGTGTATGCCACATTTAAAGGGTGACATTGTCATCACTCCACACATGTGTGAGATTTGTATTTATTAAGAGTGATTGTTTCACAACCCAATGCACTCCCAAGCCAGTTTGGATCTAGTCATGTTGTGTACTGAATACAGTTTGATTGGACTCCTTTAATGCATTCCAATCATTCCTGCCAGTTTACCTTGTTAAACCTATAATAACAAGACACACACACACATACTGTAAATTTATTATTTGAGGCACAGAAAATTTGATTTGATTTGTTGTGTATACAAAATACAGAATGAGAAAAGTTGCAATTTTAACATATGGAAGACTGCTTGGCTAAAATATGAGAAGTAAATGTTATGACTGGAGTGGTAAGGCTGAAAAAGATGCTCAGGAATATAAATATAAATACCATTTAAAAACATCCGGGCTTTAAGGATAATTGGATTTTAAACAAAACCTACATTTTATTTACATATATTTGAATTCTGTGTGCAGAGAATTAATAGGGGCTAATATCATATCAATATTTGCCTGTTTGTGAGAGTCGGATCTTATTTCACTGAAACATCAACACCACTGGCTGGATTTGAATCAAATTTGGTACACAGCTACTATACCATGAACTGATTGGATTTTTCATCCAATCTATCCATATTATGGTAGTGTCTCATAAATCTGTATATTTTAATTTGCATACATGTACTAGTACTGTTTAACTCTAATGAATTAAATATTAATAAATGTTTGCTATTTTTAGTTTCCTGTAATAGATTGAAGCTTGACATGTGCTGTTTATGTTTTTATTCTATTTGGTCAAAAAAATCTGTTCGTTGCACATCAGTTTCAAAGGTTTCCATAAATTTCTTTTGGAGGGGCTTATACCAAATTCTGTCGTGAATTTGCCCTTGGTCGTTAAACAGCAGACTGGGATTTTGAAAAAAAGAATATGGGCAATTGTTGTGCCTAAAATAGTCTAATTTGAGTTTTACCATATCATTGACGCCTATTCAAGTTTATTGTCACTATCATGAATGGGTAAGCTTTGTTTTGACAAATAGCTGTTATCCCTGTAAAAAACGTTGAATTATTCTTCAAATGCTCAGTTTACCTTTTGAAAACAACAATTTTTTTGATTTAAAAAAATCATGCTGTTGTTCCATTGAAATCCAAGCCAAAAGATAGTACTACAACACCGGCGAATCTCTTTCGTTTTGCGTTGAATAACATTAACATATTTAAATGAGCTATTGTAATTTGAACACATTGGCATCATCCATCATTTTGATTGGTTAATTAGCAATTTGACTTATCAGGTCAAAGAACACAAGAGAAAAACCCTGTCGGATATTCTACAGCATCGAGTGTTTATATGCGACTGGAACCATTTGCTTACGGTGAAACTAAGTTGAATTTTATTTGCATTTCACAACAATTCAACAAATTTTTTTTTTTATGTTATTATAATCATTACTAGGTAATAATCGACAATTGTGAAACACAGCATTTTGTCACACGCAACGTAATATTACTGTAATTGGTATAGTACAGGTGTGATGGTTCAAATACCAAAATGGCAACAGTAACAGAAAGACTTCCCTGGCCGCGATGATAAAATACGAACACGGAGCCAACAGATGAGGTTTCAACTGGTACTGGTATTATTATACTCTGCAAACATCAAGTACAATAACGCGGTAAAACTCCACTACTCCAGTAACTAGATACTTAAACTCCATTACAATTCAACGAGATCTCTGATCTGAACTCAGTGCTGAACAACTCCCCTATATATACCCACACTGTCTATAAATAGACCATTACATCAGCATACATAATGAGTCTGGAATTTACTATAATAAATTTCTAGAATGTTCCATTACCTTCTATTGCCTCCTACAGTGTTCTATTACCTATTCAACCAGTTTCTAAAAAAAAATCTAGAATATTCCACCCAGACACAGTACGGTTCTAGAACATTCTCAGTGACACGGAAGTGGTAAATAAGTCGTATGCGACACATTTCCAGATTGTGCTACCATGATCATTTGCTACTCAGCAATGCAGTTGTGTTTTTATTTGAAACGTTTTTTACCATACACTTTCGTTACCAATAAAATTGTAATTTTTGTACTAGGTTCGTTAATGTGATTTTTTGGAGAAAGATGACATTGAGTATAATACAATTTGAGTTGGTCTACTTTTTAATTCAGCATCAGGGATATCAGGGAACCCCTGCTGTGCATAGAACAGTAACTGTAACAACAAGGACAAAATGTATAAAATTTTTGATTAGCTTCTGCCGTAGTTTCTTTTGTTTTAGGGGGTGTACTGTAGGTGGATTTTTCAATGAAAAAAATATTTTATGATGGCCCACCAGCTCAGGGTAATTTTTTGGATGGGCCAATTTACGGCAGTATCCGGTAATACATATAGTTCAGAATTAATTAACTAACACACAGGAGCACTTTTATAAACCTTGCATTGAAACCACTCAGTCCTGTAGACTCAGAGACCTGACTTGCATACTCAGACGAGGACGGCATAGTGATTGGCTACTAATATATCAGTATACCAAATGCAACAGTTGTGATATTTGCGAGATATCTGGGTCAGAAGTTTCTGTCAATAACACATAATTAATGAAATATACATAGATTTGATTGGGATTGATTTTTCAGCATCTTAGGGTACCATAAATCCTAGCATGCATAGTATGTTCAGATTATCTGTTTCAAATACTATCCTTGATCATTTGATACTATGATGTAAATCTTTATGTACCTAATCAATATTTGTTTCTGTTGCTGGAAACACTGGTTTTATTGAATCTTATTACAATATTAGCTTAGATCATTTATAGAGGAGAAGCTATATATAAATAACGAACTATTAATAATCAGAATAAAACTTATTCAATAATTACAAAACGATAAAAATTAGTAAAAG